ATTTTCATGTTTAAGTTTAAAAATGGTATGCTAAAATTTTATTATACCAAAAACATTATCAAAACAAGCTGATTTTTCGATATCTTGCCGAGGGCCGCGGTTATGGAACTTGCTTTTAACAAACAATATAAAAACTTTAAATTCAACTCAACATTTTAAACGTGCAACAAAACAACACTTATTTGGTTTTGACACAAAGCAATTACTATCGTATTATTAAAAACTTTTGGTAATCTTAGTTATTTAATGTCTTATAAATTGACTCAACATCACAATTATATTGTATGGTACTTAGAACATGTATGATATTATTTTATTTTACAATACGTAATTTGTAAATGAAATATTTATTATATCTTACGCAATTTGTAGATGGAATGTAATACAGATTTATTTGATTTGTATGTATATATGAACGGACATATATTTGTGTGTACGTGTGCGTATGTGTGTGTGTATGTGTGTGTGTATGTGTGTGTGTATGTGTGCGTATGTGTGTGTGCGTGCGTGTATAATAAAAATAAAAGTCGAATAAAATAGAGAATTAAAAAAAAATAATAATAATAACGAGAAGAAATAATTAATATTTTTTTTTTTTTTTTTTTTTTTCTCTTTCTGTAAATAATAATTTGATTTTTAAGTTCTTTTCTTCTTAAAATCAGTTCTTGCTTTAGTTTCTTTTTTCCTTTTTCATTTTTATCGGCTGAATTTTTTAGTTATATTAACGGGGCTGGATGATAAGATCATGTCTTCTGCCAGCTCCGGTCGAAACTTTAATGTTATAATTTTTATGTTGTAAAAAAACATTGTAAAAGATTATTCATTTAATGACGAAAATAAAAAAAAAAAAAAAAAAAAAAAAAAAAAAATTTGCAAAATAACCCTAGACAACCATCAAATAATACCAAATGAAAAACTTAATCATCTCGGCTTTATTTAGGATACACAAAACCTACTTTTGCCCTACTCAATAGAACAAATATTAGCAATATGTATCAAATTTTCAAACTACAATACAAACTCTGATTCAATCTGGTATTCGGTTTGTACATCCATTTTCAATTTTCCAATTATATACATCTTTAGCAGTTCCGACGCTAATGCATAGTATGGAACTTTGTGAAAATAGAAAGTCAACAATGAAAAGACTTAATAAACTTGGAAGACATGCTGTTAAGTCATTTTTTAATGTCTCTAATTTTAGAAAAAACTATATAAACTCTCTTTTTAAAGTTTTTAAAGTATCAACTTACATACCCCAAAATTAAATAAACCAATTTATCCCTCCATTAAATAATAAAGTAACTTTTAAAATCAATTCTCAGCTAAACTATTGTTCTGTAAAATATTCATATTTTTAGATGAAATAAAGGAATTATGTAAGATCCATAAACTGAATATGAAAAATTTAATTCAAGATAAAAAGAAAGTGAAAATTAATATTTCAGAAAAAATAATTCCTGAAGATACTTATCAAATTCTGATACAAGCAGTTCAATGAATGCAAAACAACAACGAGCAGTTTTCAAAAATACTATTGAAGAAAACATTCCGAAGTGATCTGTTCTCTCTTTATATATCTTAAACTATTTTTACCTTGTAAACATATTTACAGAGGGTGTTTAATAAAATGATAATAATAATAATAATAATAATAATAATAATAATAATAATAATAATAGCAATAATAACAACAAAAATAATAACAACAACAATAATAACAATTACAATAATATTCATTATGATAAAAATATAGTAATAATAACAACAACAATGATAAGAGAATACTATAGAAACATATCAGTTTATAATAATAAAATTAATAATTGATATTAAAATTAGTAATATATCACGATAGAAAAGAGAAAAAATAAAAGATGAATAGAAGCACCGCGTTAGGGTTATAAATAATAAGTTTTAAAAAGGTATAAGGTTCATAAAGAGCATTTTTCTAAAAAATGGTTAAAGAGAGCAGTTTTAAATTTTGAGAATGATTTAAGAGATTGTTTTTGAATTGAAGGGAGATTGTTCCAGGTTTGTATGCTAATATGTTGTATGGATTAGTAGCCGTAATGAACAGTTCGGTATTTAGGTACAGATAATTTAAAGTTGAGAGCAGATCGTAGAATATATTTACAGTTTTCCCGGTAACTAAAAAAGTTAATAAATGTAAGAGGTAAGTATAAGTCAACTGGAGTAGACACAATATACCCTAGAGTACTAAAAGAATGTTGCAAAAGTATTTCAAAACCACTCAATTATTTTTGATTATTCATTCTCGAATTTCATTGTTCCACGTTTATGGTTATGTGCAAATACTACCCCTCTGTTTAAAAAAGGAGATAAACTAAAAGTAACAAATTATCGGTATAACTCACATCAATAGAGTGCAAAGTGATGGAAAGCATAATAAAAGATACAATAATGAATGTAATCATTCAATAATGAATCACTTGACTAAGAATAGTTTACTCTTACACTCTCAATTTTTGTATCATACAAAAGTTGCTGCACAATTTTACTCAAAACATTAGACATAATAACCCAATCTCTTAAAAGAATTTAGCAATAGATATAGCTTTGCTAGACTTTGCTAAAGTTTTTTACCCAGTTGCGCATAAAAGATTATTATTAAAACTACAATCATATGCAATTCAAGAACATTTAATATGTTAGTTTGAAAGTCAACACGAAAATTGTTTCACTCATTAAAACAGACGAAGACAGTCGAATGTTTCAGCAAGACTTATGTAAGTTGGTTGAAAGCAGCGAAAAATGGCTAATCAATTACAATAAAGAAGAATGAAAAATCATGCATATTGGCAAAAGAAACTTGAACTACAAATATTTTATTTGCAGTAAACTCGATATAATTCACTGAAATGTTTCATTTATGCAAGAAACTATGTTAGAGAGGGATCTTGGTGTAAATAATATCGAACAACATCAAATGGAAAGACAACACAATAGCAGCAAAAGCTAAGAGAAAACTTGGTTAGATAAAGAAGTCTTTTTGTCGAATTGATGAAATTACAATAAAATTATTGTATACGTTGTTGGCTTAGAGTTTGCGGCGCCTGTATGTAATTCTTATAACTAAAAGGGCATTGACAAACTTGAAAAAATACAACGTAGGGCTACACGAATTACTAGTTGAAAGAGTGTTTGCTATGAATATAGACTGAAAAGATTTAACTTGACTACTTTAAAAATAAGAAGAGCAAGAGTGGTATGATTCAATATTATAAAATAAGTTAAAATATAGATAAAGTTCAATGGAATCATCCTCCTAGAATAATTAGTCATGCAATAACATGAGGCCATAGACAGAAAATACAAAAACACATTCCATCATAAGATTTAACTTTGCAAACAGAATACAAACAGTTTTAGAAATAAAACAATTTAACAGAAAAGATAATCAATTCTGAAAATGGGAATATCTTCAAGAACAAGTTTGATCGTTTCGAAAACAAAAACAAAACAAAAAAAAGGCATTTTTAATTTGAGCATGCTTATATTACACGTAAATCTTTTAATTCAGTCAAAAATAAATGTTTCTAATGATTTTTTTCCAAATAAAAATGTAACGAATTTCTGGCTAATAAATTTTAATTTATGAAAAAATAATATCTATATTTCAACATAAAAATTTTGCACAACAGATTCTTTCATGTAAAATGAATTTATATATTTTATATATATACAACACATAAATTGAACAGCATTTTATTTTGATTAGAGGCGATTATTACTGCGTATAAATTTACGCTAATTATATTGCTTCCTGCTCATATTTTAAGAATCTTTTGGTATGGTCATATTACCTAGGTGCTCAGATGACTCAAATTTATCTTAGGAATAATATTTTCATCTGATCTTAAATTTTACAATTAAGTTACAAAAGCATCATATAAAGCTAATCGAATACTATATAGAGTAATATAGAAAGTTTGTGTGCTCCCACACTTAGAGTACACAATGTCAACGCAGTCACCATACTTTAAAAAAGTATGGTGACCGCGTATGTTAAAATTTTAGAGAAAATTCAAAAACGTGCATCAAAAATAAACGTGCATCATCTTTGTAACTTTAATTATTCTAATCGCTTATCTGTCTTTAATCTCTAGAAAATAAAAGCAAAATAGGGGGAAATCTGATTAAATTTGTAATTTCTCTGAGGAATTTACAATTCCTCAGAGAAATTCCAAATAAGTGTGCTCAACGTTATCACTTCTTTAAACAATTGCTTCCACATGAAATTCACTACCAGATGATGTTGTTATGCACTAAAGCATAAACTAAAATAAGAAAATAAGAAAAATGTATTGAGCAAAAATTATAAAAGCGAAACTTCAAAATGAAAATGCGGTCTCGAAGTTACTGTAGTTGTCTCATTCTTTGATTAAGTTGCTTGCATCAGATACGCTTAACACAAAGATGACAATAAAACCTTTTTTGTGCGGAACTATAGTTACTAATAATAATGTCATAAGAGGTTGTCAACAAATTACACAACGCAATTTTTGACCGTTTTAGACCTTCTCTCCCCCCCCCCCCCTTCTATCCTCGTTAAATCATTAAAACTCTTTTGTAACAGGTTCCGCGTCACAAAAACATAACACTTCTTCCCCAGTCCCCAAAGTGTGACGTAATTTATGGGTGACTCTTGAACTACTTATTATTTTTATTTCATTTCATAAATAACAAACAAAACAAAAAAAGCTTTTTTTAATTGTAATATGAAGTGTTCGACCAATTAGAGAACACCATCTATCTTAATAAAAATTGTTCATCACACAAAAAAATAATCAATAACTTATAATTATACATTTTTTTGCTAACATATGCGTAAACGAGGTCCTCAAAGTATTTCTGCCAAATTGCCTTAATCCCTCACTAGACATGATCATATGTGAGTATATGCGAAGACGAGGAGGTGTATGCAATGCGCAATATATGAAGTTTGTTTTATCAATAAAATGTAACAAAAAAATAACCTCAATAAAAATATTTTTTTTTAATTTAAAATAAATATTTTTGAAGTTCATTTTGTGGTATAATATCAGTCAATAAAATAGAGTCGGTTATTTCATCAAAATTTATTTCATTTGATTTTAACTCCTGAGGAAAATAAGGCAATGTTTTCGATTTACTTGCAAAGAAAGTATTTTCGTTTAGTATTTCATAATTCTGTAATTTAGTAGAATGTTCATAGTTCTGTAATTTAGTATTGGAACTCGAATCGGCAGCTTTTACAGATTTTGGTTGTTCATACAAAGAAGAATTTGAAAAATCTTTTTTCAACTTTTTAAAGTATTGCGAGAATACATTTTTTGAATGAACTGCGTGTAATTGCGAGGAATTGCAAGAAGTTGCGCAATACTCTACTTTTAGTTTCTTCATTTTAATTTCATTTTTAAACAAGTTCGCTCTTTTGAGGGGAACGATATAACGAGTCTTCTTCACGCTGTCTAAGGAGGTGAAGCAGGATATATTTCGTTTTCTATTTTTAGAAGACAAACATTTATTTTCTATTATAGATGGGTCATCAAGATTAGTTGTGTTAAATTTGCAAGATAGTGATCCATTAGGTTGTTTTCCGTTAGTCTATAAAACAATAAACTACATGTTTAATATAACCACTTGGTCAAACATAACAAATTGGTTACAATAAATCAATAATACAAAAAATCAATATTAAAACAAATCAACATAAAAACAAATCAACATTACAAAAAATAACACAGTCTTAACGTAAATGAATCTTTAGTCACTAATTTCTTATCTTTTAATTATTTATAATTTTAAATTTTTAAAAGTTTAATAATGATTAATATCATTTTTGAGGCACGGGTTGTGTCTCTGTTTTTATGACTAGGCAACATATTTTATATTTGCTAATGAGGGTAGAGCTCTAAAACTCAGTTTTATGGTTCTGAGGCCGGCTGGTAGTCAGGTTTTCCAAACTCTGAGGTAGCTCTCAGAGAGGCTGATTCCATTAACAACTGTAGAATATTAAAGCATTAACAGTACCATGTTACGCATGGATGGTGTCCCTGTTCGTACTTTTGGTGTGCATTGTTGAGGCCACATTTAAAGCCCTTTGTTACGGCTAAGGGTTTATTAATAGTAATGAAGCATTTTCTTGGGCTATTAAAACTGAGTACTTTTTATGCTTTGAGTCAAGTTCTTTAACAAATTTAAAAAAGAATAAAGTAATAAAAACTATACAACACAAAAAACCATTGTCATCACCATGTTTTCTAAACCTATCATTCTTTAATATTTGTGATCTTCATAAAGTAGTAAGTTTTCTTCTGTTGAGTCTTATCTCCTGCAAAGATCACCACACCTAATTGCTCTATGTGAGACTAACTTTAGTTCAGCTATCTCATCTTGTGTTCTTAGTGTTTATGTTTATCTTCCTTTAATTTGTAAAGACTCCAATATTCAAATGCTTGGCGTGGGCATTTACATTCGTAAGAATTCATCCATTTGTTAGGAAACTAGGTTTGAATTCACAGACTATTCTTTTATATGCTTTCGTTTAGCACCACTTCACTCTACCACCTTTCTCTTTGTTCTATATCGCTCTCCTTCATCTCAAGACTGCACTCTTTATCCATCAAATTGCAGTCTTTATCCATCAAACATAGTTGTTTTTGGTGACTTTAATGTTCATTACACTTAATGGCTTTTCTCAAGTGTCAGTAACTCTTCAGACGTTAAAGCCCACAACCTTTAGCTTTCTCAATCCCTAACTTAAATAGTTAACTTTCCAACTCGTTTTCCAGACAACTCAATCACTTACCTTCTCTACTCAACTTATATCATGTTTCTGATCCTAGTTAGTGCTCAGTTTCTTCACATTCATCCTAAGGTGCTTCTGATTACAGTTTGATCTCTCTGAACCTGTTATCTCATTCTTCATTATCATCTGAATCCCCCTATCATCGTACCTCTTACAACTACCTTAAAGTTGGCTGGGATTCTTTCCGTGATTTTCTTTGTGATGACTCTTGGGTAGAAATCTTTCGTTTTCCTGCAGACAAATGTGTTTTTTACATAATTTCTTGGATTCAGGTTGACATGGAAATCTTTTATTCCCTCACGACAATTTTAGGTCAAGCCTCACTCTTCTGCATGGTTTTCCTAACAATGTGCTGCTACAATTTTCAATCAAAATCATTACTTCCATATCTATTAGCAAAACAATTCTCCAGAAAACTAATTATCGTCCGATTAGTCTTCTTCCTATCATGAGGTTTTTGAATATTTATTTAACAAGGTTTTTGAATATTTATTTAACAAACATTTATTTTGAACATTTTGAACATTTATTTAACAAGGTTTTTGAATATTTATTTAACAAACACTTAATCTCTCATGTTGAATCTAATAACTTATTTTCTGATCATTAATATGGATTTTGATCTTCTCTTTCTACAGCTGATTTGGTACCAGTAATAACCGATAGATAATATAGTGCATTTGGTAAAGGTGGAGAGGTTAAGGCCATCGCTCTTAACATTTCTAAAGCTTTTAATAAGGTTTGGGATGCTGATCTTTTCCATAAGCTTTCTTCTTACGGTGTATCTGGATACATCTTTAAGATTATTGAATCCTTCCTTACCAATTGAAGTATAAAAGTTTTCCTCGATGAACAGCTCTTCTTTATATCCATTAACTTCAAGGATTCCTCAAGATTCAATCATAGGCCCTTTACTTTTTTACATTAATAATCTTCTAGATATTCTCACATCTAAGGTGGAATTGTTCGCTGATGATACTACCATTTATTCTTGTCATGATATAAAGCCAACACTCACTGATTATTTGGAGGGGACATTTGAGCGTGAAAAGGATCTTACTTCTATTACAGCATGGGGCTCACAGTGGCTGGTGAAATTTAATTCAGATAAAACTAAACTTTTTCAGCCAATCATTATTATAACAATCTTCCTATATTTATGAACGGTAATGTACTCGATGAGTCATCTACCTTTCATCTTCTAGAATTAACTCTTACTTCCGATTTAATGTTGCTTCTTTTTTCTATTTTCTACAAATACTATAATGGGTACTGCTCTAAAGAGCTAGCGTCTCTTGTGCCATCTACTAAAACTCATTCTCGTGTTACTCGTCATTTAATTAAGTCTCGTCCTTTTTTTTTTTATGACTGTTCCTTGGTGCTCCAAAAACTCTTATTCGTCTAGTTTTTTTCCTCGAACATTATTTCTTTGGAATTCGCTTCCTTCATCTTGTTTCCTGAATCATATAATTTGAAGTCTTTTAAGTTGTCTGTCAAACGTTATCTTGTTCTATAAGCTTCATCTTTTCTCTTCCAGTAACTTCTAATTCTAATAGTGGTTGCAAAGATGTTAAAAAAAATACAGAGGGTATACTTAAAGCCCTGAAAAAGTTGATTAAATACTAAATGGAACAGTAGTCTAATAACAGTTTATATTCAAACTAAATCAGACAGAACTTTTTTTTCAAAAATCTGTACAAACACGGGGGATCAAAACAGTGGGACACTATATAGTAACAGTTATATTATAATTTAATAGGCAGGTTGCTCACATGTTTGTATACTCGACCATAAAATTGTAATAAAGTCGTCAGGTATAATAAATAAAAATCAGCTATAATAAATAAAATAGTTATTTACGATATTTATTTATTATACCTCATGATGCTAACCACAATAAATAAGCAAAATATTGAATAATATTTATCAAAATAAAATAAAAATATACTTTTTCGAAAAAATTTATACGCAGCAGTTTTTATTGAATTCTACATACATTTTATCGTTTAAAAGGAAAATTACTTTCAAAGAATGTATATATATATATATATATATATATATATATATATATATATATATATATATATATATATATATATATATATATATAGATAGATAGATAGATAGATAGATAGATTGATTGATTTAAGATATAACTTGATTATATGAATATCTCAAAAGCATAAACACTTCGTTGCGTTCGATTGAAGTCATAGAAACTGCTTTATTTAATATTGCAATTGATATTAATGCTATTTTTACTTGAAACTGATATTAATCCTGTAACCACTGTAAGTCACGCGATTAACAGACATAAGATTTCATTGTGAAAAATGGTTTGTACTTATTTTGCAGTTATATTACATGACTTATACATGCTTTATTGTTGTATTTTACTTTATGAAAATTTTGTTTTGCAAAACTCAGTCAAAAATGGTTTCAATTTAAATACATAATTAACGGAAAAAGTTGGTATTAAGGTTCTAGGAAAAAAATCCTCCCGTAAAAAAATCCCCCTGGAAATAATCGTCCCGAAAAAAATCCCTCTGACAAAAATTCCTCTAGAAAAAAAGCCCTTGCAATTTTTTTTTTGCTAGGTACCTTTTTTTTTTGTTAAATACTTTCGATTTATTTTTCAGTCAATTTATGTACACTCCTTGCATGTTCTAACTATTTGTCAGCCGATGTAAACTCCATGCACTGTGCACTCCATGTATGGTTTACCTATTTGTCAGTCAATAAGTGTTCACTCCTGGCATGTTCTACCTGTGTCAGTCGATTTATGAAAAAAGAAGGATTAAAGCATTACTTGTAACATAAAATGTATTTATAGAACATTTATATTATAAAAAACTATTATATTGGTATAAAGTCTATTTTATGCTCTGTATAAAAAAAGATACTGGGTTATTTTTTCTGGGTGAATTTTTTCTCAAGGAGATTTTTTTTCCCGGGGGATTGATGTTCTTACGTTAAATCTTAAAATTTTTTTAAATGAATATTTGTGAATTTTTTTGATAGATATAATAGTTATATCTACGATCATATCAAAAAATATTTTTAATAATAAAATCTGTATTTCTAATAATCTTAGAAAACATTAGACATAAAATCCATTTTGTAAATATGAAATTAATAAAACATTTATTTATATAAAGGTTTAATTAATTGGTGCAATTTCCTTTGTGAATATTAGACGTAAAGCATAGCGGAATTGGACAAAAAAGGTATTAGAAATGGTTTATTAGTTTAATTTTGAAGTTTTCATTTTATACATGAGAAACAAATTTGTTAAATAAATTTTGTTTTATAAATATTGTTAAATAAATTTGTTTTGTTTCATAAATTTTGCCTTTCATTAAGACTCGAATTTCATTCGAGTAAAAAACTAATTTATTACAAACATTTTAATTTATTACAAGCATTTTAAGCCAAGAGATACAAAATATAAAATAAATAAAATTCTATTTCAAATCCTCGTAGTTTGTTTACTAGCTTTTTTTCTTCTTACTTTCATTGTTTAAAGCAAAATGTTTTCTATACTTTTTCTGTATTTACTATAGATTGTAAAATAAAATAGTTTCAGTTACATCAATTTTCGCTATTTTAGAATTTATTTTAATTGAAATATTTTTAGCAAAATGTGTTTACGTCGTCTGCCTATAACACATAGCTTTCAAGTTACATAAATTCTATAATATATACTGTCGAATTCATCATTTTATGATTCCAGTGCAATCCGGTCTACTTTTAGTTTTTGACATATTAAGATAAGATTAAATTTACCCAAATCTTATTTTATTCCCAAATTAAAATAATCACCTAGATTTGATTTATTTTGTTATCATTATTGTGTTAAAAATTTAGGTTTTGACTTAAAATGGTGGATAAATAACATAAAAAATAATTTATAACTTGCAACAAACTATAATTTTTAACTATTTTTATAACTAAAAATAGTTATATTGAAAATTCCACACTCTTTTTGATATCAAATTTTTTAAATATCAAAATACCTAAATAGCATTTTATCGGCATTTTATTTTGAACTGCAATATTAAATTTTTATATAAAGATTGTTATAAACTTTTAGCTATTTCATTTCATTCAAACTAATTCACCTTGGATTCTTGAAGTTAATTTACCTTGGATTCTAGAAATTAATTTACCTTTGATTCTAGAAACTAATTTACCTTGGATTCTAATTAAATAACACTAAATTTCATTTATAGTTTCTAAAATCTATTTTAATATAATCTTTTTTAACTTTTCAAATTGTGTATCTAATTGCATACATCACACGAAATGACAAAGTTGAACATATGTATGACCGAGTGAAACTGTTCTAAACATATAACATTAAACTTTTTATAAAACACTCTATAAAATTTTGTTTTTATCTTTTTTACATTGCTTCTTATTTATTCGTTAGATACAGTTTATTATTTTCTGGCTATATGCAATACAAAAAATGAGGCATTCCTTAGTAGTTTAAATATGGAAAAGCCGCTATTTTTATTTTAACTTTTTGGTACTTCTTCTGTTTCTTTTTCCTCCTAATTTTATTTACTTCTTAATTTTTTTCTATCTTCTATATATCAAACTTTGATTCATAAAATAATTTCTTTGATAACTTCATTGTTTTTACGTTTAAATTTGATAATGAGAAGGTATCAGCAGGTGGTACCTCAACTTGTTTTTGATATTTTTGTAATATTTTTTTTTTTTTTTTTGTAAATTCACCTCCTTAAGGCCGAGAATGTACTTATTTGTGGTTATATAACCCTCTCTCAACTCTATAACTCCGAAACACGAACCTTGACGAACAAGGCCGCTGCGCAGAGAAACGAGTTGATTGTTATTTCTTGTTGAGATTAGTGTTTAGAACATATATGATTGAAAATAGTGACTGCAATAGAGAAGTTTTATCCACAAACTTAAAAAATAGAAACAGACAATATTTTGCAATAAATTATAAAAACAAATTGTATTGTTACGTATATATGTATGTTGCTATGTATATGTTTATACTACTATGTATATGTAAATGTTGCTATGTATATGTTTTCCGCCCTAGTTTTGGATAAATAATTCCTTTTTAAGCTTTCAAATTATAGCAATTATAAATATTTTTTAAAATCATAATAATTTATTTTAAAATGAAAAATTAAAAAGTCGTTCAAAATTTTATTTAAACTAAATTCGGGCATAATTTTGTTTACTTTATCCTATTTATAAAGTTGAAACCTTAACTAAAAAATTGTAATAAATAATTTTTGCTCATAGATCAAAAAAAGCCAGTTTATAACTTAATTTATATCATTGAAAAAATAACTATATTTAATTTACGTACACTTAATGATGTTCAAAAAAAGTACAAAATTTTGATGAGCTACACCCTAATAATGAAATTATCGAGTTCATCAAATAATTATTCAAAAAAAATTATTATTGATTCAAATTTTAAAAATACTGATTAAAATTGTATACTTTTAAAAAATACGTAAAAAGGGCAGATAAATAGTTTAGCTTATCAAGATTTCAATAAGCTACACCCGGATTTTGAAATTCTCCAGTTCATCAAATAAACAGTATTATTATATATTCAATAACAAAAAATATTGTTTAAAACTATTTTTAAATTTGTGAAAAAGGGTAGATGAAGAAACTGTGTCAAAAAAATACGCAAAAATAAATACAAAAATTGCAAATAATGAATAAAAAGTTGCTTGTTTTATATGTATATAAAACAACATATCAATGTTGAAATATTTATTCACATTATTTTGATTATTTATATGATAAAGCATAGTCATAATATACATATTCATAATAGTCTGATATTATGACTATGGATAAAGTTAATTTTACAATTTGCTTAAAGATATTTTCTAGTTCACGAATTTAGGATGTTTATCGTTTGTAAAACTTTTTATAACTAGAGAATATTTTTATTAAGATATTTTATTAAAAAGAAAACTTTTTATATGAAGAGAATATTTACATTAAGATTTTTTATTGAAAAGATATAAACTTATTAGGAGAATTATTTAATAATAGAAATGTTTTGTCATTCCAGAATTTTTTCAATGTTATTTCAGCGACACGACAACATTTTATTTAGTAAAGTTTAACTTAGTTTTACTAGTGCATTAATAACACAGTTCGGCAAAATTGATGTTCAACTTCTTAAATATATGAATTTTTTCAATGTGACTTTATTAAAAACAACGATCATTGATTACTTACATAATGCGGACATTCATTTAGTATATGTTTTATTTTGCTTGTCGCCTCTGTCATGAAATTTATTAGATTTTGCGCAACATCTAAATTTAAATCTTCTTTTTTTTGACTAAAACCTGTGGAAACCATTGCTTCCAAATGTTCAATGAATTGCTAAAGAAATCAAAACATATAACCCTGATATATGTTGTCCATTTAATGTAATCTTTGTATTATTACATGAACTCATATACAATACACAAAATTACTTCAATTTTCGTTGTTCTCCTACTCAATATGAGTCGAACAATAGATACCAAAATAGAAATGATTCTATTTTTTTATTATTATGTTATAAAAGCTATTAAGTAGTTTAATTTTTTTTAAAACGGTTTGTCATTATTTGTTATGTTTAAGCGGAAGTCGATTTAAACCCCACGAATTCGAAAGATGTCGCGGAAGTCGATTTAAAGAATTCGAAAAATAGTTTTGATTATTAAGTTAAAAAATATTTAACTAAAAAACAAATGTAGTAAACACTTTATATTTTCCAATCAAAAAAACTGATAAACAGAAAGCATTTAGCATAAAATAAAAAGCTTGAAGCTACGTATGAACTTTTTCTAACCATAGCTTTAACAAAATAAGAAAACTGCTTGCTGTCTTATCTCTAAGAAGTTATTTTTTTTTTTTTTTTTTTTTTTAATTTGACCTTTTTTTGAAGCATAGAAAAAATCAAAAGATCAAAATTAGTATAGAAAAACAATAAATGTTATTAATAAACATTAAATGTCAACCCCCTTCTGTTTTGGACCCGGGGCATAAGTCTTACATTTCCACTTTTAAGTAGTGGGACAGAAATTACAAAACCTTATTAACGTTATGCCCGTTTTAATATTGTTAGTGACAGTAAAAAAATTAAATCTTTTGATTTTTCCAAAATTTTACGCGATATTTTATACTTAAAACATTATTGGAGATGATAACAGTCACTATATTTTAAAGTTTTTTAATTTAGAAATTAATTAGGCAGCGCATGGACCAAGTAATCTCAACATAAAAATTATTTTCCGAGTTTCCAGTCAAGACATAAAATTACTGATAAATAGTAGTTAACTTCAAATAATAAATAATTATTTATATATTTCAACCAAAGATAATTATAATTATCTATGGTTGATAAGTAATTATATTTGGTTGATAAGTATTTATCTTTGGTTGATAAGTAATTACCTTCAATTGATAAATACTCTTTTTACTATGAAATTTACAATTTAACAGTTACAGTAGAGAATGATAACATAAAGTAATTTGTTTTGTTTTAGTCGGATTATAATGTATCATTTCTATTTTTCAAAAAAAGCCACGTACACAGCAAAATCATAAATGTATTGCCCATAATTTAAGAAATATTTTCTTAAAACAAGAAATTTATTTCATGTTATAGGAATTTAATTGCAGGGTGTTAGGAAAATTGTTTCTTAAAACAAGAAATTTAGAGCAAAAACATAAATCGATTGTCCATAAACAAGACGTATATTTCTTTATATAATAGAAATATAAAGAAATATATTTCTTATTTTCAAAATAAGAAATATATGTCTTGTTTTAAGGAAGATATACTTAGTAAGAAATGCAATTTTGATGTGCAGCAGTCGTCTTTTTTTGAAAACTTTGTAAAAAACATTAAACAAAATATGTTTTATGATTTGCTTAATTAATATTTTTAAATAGTGGATAATCTTTTATAAATTATACCACTGGGTTTACTCAGTCATTAAAGAAAATTTTCATGTCAACAGAGTCTACCTAATGTCAAGAAACAAATGTCAGGTCATTACTCTAAACCAATTACCCCAAGTTACAAATGATAAATACGAAAACCATACATATAACACAGAGGATCACATTTATTGTTCTTAAATTTTAACAGTTTTTCAAATGCTTCCCTATTGACAAATGTCGTTGTTTGGTTTATCACAAATATATCAAACTCAATGCAGACAGAGTTGCTGTTAACCACTTGCCATAACTAAAATTTAAAGAAAAAAAAAACATCTTAATGAGGAAAACTTTATTTTCTTTTTATCAACATAATTGTGTCAAGTTGTTCAGCATTGAAGTTTCTACTTTAAAAAGCTGTGGATTATTTCAAATGAACATGGTAACTTTTAAAGACGTTAAAAGTGGTTAAAAATTTTTTTTCAATTATATAGACAACGAAAAAAAAAAAAAAAGGTACCACATCATTGCAAGATGGCGACTGTTTTTTTAACATACATTTTTAACAAACACTTTTTTTATTTTCTCGCGACTCGAACAGTAAAATGTCAAAGTTTACTGATTTTATAAAGATTTCAAATCTTGGTGACTTACTTTTTAAATTCTAACTGAAATCAAAAAGAGCAACTAAAATTATGTCAGTACGCGCTATGAACAGCGGCTAAAAGAATTTGGGTTTACAACTTTAGAAAAAAAATAGAAAAGGGGATATAATAGAATACAATAAAATAAAAAAAGATATTCATAAATTATTTCGAGATCACCAATAAACAATTTACTTTATTAATATCTTACCCACCAATAAACAATTGATATCCAAAATATTCGTATATCAAAAGCAAGAAGGCGTTTCTTTACAAATAGGATAGTGAATAAATGGAACAGCCAAATCAATTAAGTTGTAAATGCTGATAATATTAATATTTTCAAAAATAATCTAAACGAATATAAGAAAGGTTTTCAATTAATGCTCCTAAACTTATATATAAAAAAATCTCTAAAAAATCAAAAACTAATATTTGTATCATTTTATTGTTGTTATTATTATTCTATTAGAAATTTTATTTTTATTTTCCTCTGTTGTTAAAGTCACGGAATTACAGTTCCGTGAATCACATTTTGTTTAATGTACAGTAACAACATTAAGTATTTTATTCATAAGTTATGATCAATAATATATCATAAACCATAAGTTATGATCAATAAGTTATAATTAATTACTAGTTGTTGCAAATGGAAATGTTTTATGACAAAAATACTTTTTCAGTATTTGTGCTGAGAAATACTGTAAATTTTAGGGTGGAATGCAAGAAGAAAACGTGAGTCAAGTTCGACTTGAACTTTACTTTGTAACCAATAGCAGCAGAGTATTTTTTGAGGGAAAAACCCACACTCTGTCGCTAATGGTTGCAATGTAAAGTTCAAGTCGAGCTTGACTCAAGTTCGCTTCTTGCATTCCACCCTTAATAATAAAGTCTTTAAACTTATAAATTAATGTAATATTTAAAGGTTTATAAAAACCAACTGTACTATCTTCAGACGAAATAATTCTTAGAATGTTATCAAGAATAGAAAAAAAAAGTTGAAAAATATTCTAAAAAATTATTTATTTATTTAACTACCACAGGGCTTGACTGGAAACTCGGAAAATGTCGGTGGCGTCGGCCCACAATAAAAAATTTAAGAAAGAAAAAAATTCAAAAAAGTACATTGGTAATTCACAAACATCTTTATTAAAATTATAAAATTGCAACAAAAATCAAAACTTAGTAATCAAAAATAAATATTATTAATTAAACAAGTTTTTTAATTATATTACTTTTTTCTCTCATTATATCGATTGCTCTAATATTGTTAATGTTATGTAGAACATTTACACGCCATGCATCTTTTTCACACGCCATGCATTTGTGTTTTACATTTCAGTATGAAAAATATTCTGATAAAAAACAATGCTACAGAAATTGAAATAGATGGCGACCAATAATAACAAAGGTTCTGTAAAGCGGAGGACAGCACCCGAATTATAAGAACAGTACCCAAGTTATAAAAAATAGCATTAATCTACTGCATAATTTACGAGCGAAATATTTTGTCAGATGGTGAAATATTTCCATGCTGTTAGAACTTTTGAACTATTTTCAACTTTTTATGTGGTTTTCCAAAAAATATTAATTAAATAATGATTTTCAGTTTCTTTATTAAATATTCGTCAAATCTTTTACTCAATAACGATTTGCAATAACTGTTATTGTTAAATATATTGATATTGTTTTTACTATGTTTTGTGTTCTCAATATTGATGTTGTTTTCCTAATAATAACAGATATTTTAATGTTCAGACAGTAGTTAACTATTATTTTATTAATTCCAAAGTGAGTGAATATCATTTTACTGATATTGGCCAAACGTCAGCGGGCCTAAATCATACTTATAAGTAAAAAATGTTGAAACACTACTATAGCCCGCTGTTATGCCAACATATCTAAATGTATATAAGTATTCTGGGAAATTTGTAATAGGAAAATTCTTTGCCTTCTAATAAAAAAAAAACACTCAGCAGTGGGCGTAAAATAACAATACATACTTGTATTATAAAACAGTGGTAAAAAAAAACAAAAGCGAAACAAAACCAAAGAACAAAATAATAATGGTGAAAACAATAACATTTCAGCTAAGTAAAAGTTAAAATATTAAATAGTTTTATGACAAAGGTGTTGTACAATTAAAAATGATAAATAAACAACTTTGAACACTTGAAAACTTACCTTAAATTTATCGTAGTCATAATCAATTATAATTTCACGTAAATACTAAATCTTTTAAAACCAACGGTTGCAAAGTATTTTAAGTAAGTACTTAATGATATTAAAGGTACTTAATTGTAAAATAATAAAAACAGTTAGTGGATTTAAAACGAGCTATTTTTATGTATAGGTTATTATGTCTAAAAAATATTTTGAAATTATAAATTTATATTTTATATATGTGTATATTATATATATATATATATATATATATATATATATATATATATATATATATATATATATATATATATATATATATATATATATATATATATACATATATATATATATATATATATATATATATATATATATATATATATATATATATATATATATATATATATATATATATATATATATACATATATTAATATTTATATATATATATATATACATATATTATATTTATTATTTTATAGACTTATGATTTTTAAAACTTTTACATATTTTCGTTTGTTTTTTTTGAGTATCAAGTCTACGTTTGAGTACCAGACCTACTTTTGATGAACTTTTTTAACATATTCATTAGAAACACTTTAACTCTTTCGCACCTATAATTAATATTTGTAAACAGTAAAAATAAAAATACTATACTGAAAATGATATATTAGGGATAAAAGGCATCATATTTACACCCCATAATTATATATTTTCAAAAAGATAAATAAACAAAAATTGTGTCTCTTTTTAAATAAAAA